CTTTTTCTTCAACCCTGAAGATGGGGGCGATACGTTCCTCCGAAACGTCGGTTAACACCACATATACACGGCGCCAAATCCCAGAAGACTGCTTTCTTCATAGTCACCGCCGTGAAAGCCTCAAATCTTACATTCACATTAATTGTTTTATTATAATTTGTGATGACAATATGAGCATTTGCTGCTACTGTCTGTTGTCATTAATATACAATAATTTATTCTCACGTACTTTGTATGTAGTTTATGAAATTCTGTGCTTTCAATAGAACTCATATACCTAGAGTTATTAATTTCTCATTTTATTCGGCCTGTTGAAAGTGCTGAATTACCTAATGTGGCCTGCGTTTCGAAAAGTTTGGAGACCCCTGGTCTACAGGGACCGAAACATGTAAGGGTGTTAAGAACTGAAGTAGTAAAAACTTCAACAGTCACACTGGGCAGAGTTGTTTTATCTTCTATAATATTGTTAGTGTGATGGACCAGAATGAAACAAATAAAAAAATATATATAAAAACTTTCAAATTTTTGGATAAAGAATGGTTCCCAATAATAACATACCTATATCACACCTCTGCACTGCATTTAGGAAATGCCAAGGAGGAGGGTGCCAAAAATGTTATTTGCTTGGGACAGCAGAATGTCCTGCATGCACAGAAATTATACCCAATTCCTATTATATTTGAGTGCACAGCTATAACTAGGATGTGAGGAAACCTTAACTTCTAGGTTATGAGGAAATTTCTTTTCTGCCCTTGCTGGGCTATGGGGAAAACCTAAACTATCTTCTCTACTTGCTGAGCTATGGTAAAAAACTGAAACTACCTGTACCTTCTGCCAATGCTAGACTATGGGGAAAACCCCATAAAATCTCCTACCACTGTTATGATCTGGGTAAAACCCAAACTGTCTTCTGCTGCTGCTAAGCTATGAGGAAAACCCCAAGCCATCTTCTGCCACTGCTATGCTATGGGGAGAGAAATGATAATAGGACAAGCAAAAGGGATGGGAAAGCAATATGGGTGAAAAAGTGGCAGGGATATAAAGTCACAAATGGGATAAAGGATAGGTAAGAGAGAGTGAGGGATGAAAATATGAAAAGAAATAACATTCTGACACCTTATATGGGTTACATACCAGAATATGAGTACATACCCTTCTGAAATGCATCTGCAGTGAGATAGGGTTAAAACAATTGTAACTCAAGTATATATTTATTCTTAAGTAACGACTTCTCTCTCCTTTTTGCAGCTGCCATTAACTTCGAAGACAGAGTTCTCCCTTCCTTACCACACCAAAGCCCAGTACTTGACATGGGAACTTGCACCATATGCATCTGCCACAATATTCACCACAAAATTACATAACCTCTCTATTGTTCCATCAGCAAAGCTGCCATGCAGCCACTGAGCTGTCAGTCTAAATTGAGAAGTTAACGAGTTCACTTCATGACTGATCTAATACTGTACTGGAAACTGAGAGTTACGAACCTCGAAACTTGTAAACCTCTGTGACACAGCCCTATTACTGGATTCAACGCTGGTGAGAGATGGTAGAATTTTTTTCAATTTTACATACTTTACAATGCTACTTCAATTGAGTAAGTGGGTAAATAGCCTTTTATCTACAAGATAGTGTTTTATACAGGTAGGTCAGATGACTATGTTTTTATTTCCACAATGTTAAAGCAGTAGAAAATGAGTATTCCGAACCAGGATATATTCCATTTAAACTGTAAGGTGTTATGTTTGAGTTACTTGCAGCATACACAGTTGTATGTGTTCCAGTGATTGAGAAGTGTCAGTTCAAGATTTTAATCAGACTTCTAATATCTGTTACCATTAACTTCACTGTTAGCAAACTCTGGTGGAGCTTAAATCTGTTGGCTTTTGTGTATCACTTGCCAAGATTAAATCTGAGGTGTTGCTTCCTAATTTGGTCACATCAGACAATCTTGCAGCTTCCTTCACAACTGTACACTGCATGTACAAACATGTGTGCAAATAGAAATATCTGCTGCAATATCAATACTTGTACAGCCATTCAAACAAAAGTCTGTGCTGTTCACATACATGTAGAAAGATGGATACATACACTCACAGATTTTGTTTTTCCTATTTCATCATTTTTTATTGTGCATTTTGTATGCTTAAACTGATAAATATTGTAATTTTAATTTCAAACCATCAATGAATCACTCATTTAAATCACAGTAAATAGATTTCTTCAACATATATTAACATTCTCATACAAGAAGAGCTTTGTCATGCCAGATTTCAATTTCCACCCAACATGCCATGGTCCATTAGTGTTCATTATGAAGAGTTAATAATAAAGAACTGTCCCTGTGCTTAATTAAGCATGATGTCATGAGGATATATGGGGTTGGAGGTATAGCTTCACACATTCATAATCTCTGCATTACATGGAGGTGAATGGTCAGCGTCATGCTCTGGCCATTTTACCCCTTGGTGCCCATTCAATAACAGGGTGGGTGGACCCATAGCTGGACTGGATGCTGTGTGTAATAGAAAATATTTTCTGCACTCTGGGAATTGAACACCAATTCCTCAGCCATCCAGACTATAACCCAGTTATTTTGACTGGAAAGGAAACCATATTCCATTTAAGAATGTACAGTCTCTGTGTTCACAACCAATAGTGATTTATGGTAACAGACATAAATTGGATTTCTAAGCAGATCAATGTTCTAAAAAAACAAGAACTTTCAGAAGGTTCTTCTTATTGGTGTATAAATTCCTCTGAATTTAGTCCCATTCTCAGTTACATAAACACAGGAACATGTGGTAGGCCATTTAATAAATATCGTCACTAAATGAATAAAATATACTTTTCATGCAACTGACTCCATAGATCAAGCCTTCTCAATAAGCTAATCAAGAAATTCTGTGCTATATGGAACCCAATGGTTCAGCATTCACAACGGCCTGTTAATCGAACTTATCGTCAGCCAGATCAATGCAGTCCACATTATCACACAGTATTTCTTTAAGATATACTTTAATATCATCATCTTCTCTATGGCTAAGTTTCACAAGTCATCTCTTCCTTTTGTACTTCCTGATATTTTATATTCTTATATCTGCCATGTGTGTTACATGNTAGATACACGCACGCACGCACACACAAGTACAAAAAAAAAAAAAAAAAAAAAAAAAAACTACACGATTTTAGTCTGCAAGCGAACTATACCAACCGAGGGACTGCCGCTTGTTGGCGAAGTTTAGTGCCAACATCTGCAGACAGAGGGTGTCAATGGTCTGCACAACGAATCCCTACGGCCATTAATTTCGGTTTTCTAGAACTTGGAACCATGTACAAATTATAATTATAGCCTCATAATTATGAGGCTTCTCATTCTGTGATTTTCTCCAGTCTCTTGTTACACCCTTTCTCTTAGATCCAAATATTCTCCTCAGCGCTGTTCCCAAAACACTTTTTTTCTTCACTTAAGGCAAGAGACCAGGTTTCACATCCATACAACGTTTTTTAGAGACGAAAAACTCTGATTTCTGTAAACCAGAAATTACACAATTTTCCAGTTTCTTAAGCAGTTCAACATCTTAGTCATTAACACCATTTTCAGACTAACTGGCTAAATTCAAGAGGGACTGCATATTCACTTAATGAACTACACTGAGGCCATAGAAAGAAGCCCATGAATGGACCACCCCCTCTACATTTTCCATTAGCTGACACAGTTCCCTCTCCAGCACATTCCCCTCCAGTCACCTAGCCATTCTGTTCACAGGAACGTGGACAGTGCATCAAGTGCTTCATGCTGGCTGATACAGACCCAGAGGGTCTGGAAGGAAATACAACAGCAGGTAGAGTGGAAAGCCTCAAGTGCTATAATCCAAACCATCAAGCAGACTTCTTTCCACGGCCTTGGATAGCAACCTATTTTGTTTGAAGAAAGCATGTTCATAGCACTAGGTACAAAATAAAAAGTTACAGTAACATTGCTAGATAGGCTTGTAGAGGAGAGTTGTCACATATTTTTTTCGATATCGATGTGTGGCACTCAGCACCATCACTCCATCTTTGATTGATAATGCATAAAGGTGATTCAGCATCACATGGTTCGGTTCAGGCAGCAATGTGGGTTCACACTGCAAGCAAAGATTCTAACGTTTAGGCCTCATTCTTGAAGCAACCAGAATCTTAATCTACACAAGCAGGCATGTGATGAACCTAGAGCTGGCCAATAAGGAAGCTCATGCATCAGTGCTAGTACACTAGACCAGTATACTGTCCACCACACACTGATAGCGCAAGAGCAACAGCCTACAAATGTAATTATTAATAGCACAACTAAACATAAACAGTACGGTCTTCGGCTGTAATGCCATGTAGTCTAGAAGCAGCCTGTCATTGTAGATGTACATACTGCCTCAATTTTCAGGGTTAAAGAGCCAGGTAAGAAACCAGCAGAAGCTGGCTGCAAGCTTATGGTATGAGGAAGAGTCCGTAAATAGATCACAAATGAGCATAAAACATAAAATATATAATATTTGAACCTGGAAAAAACATTTATTTCTGACATATCCTCCATCAACATTGATAAACTTCTTCCATCACTTTACCAGTGCACCAACTCAAGGCACTGAAGTCTTTTGACTATTGTCTCTGCCACTTTTGCACCTGTTTCATCCTCTTCATCATCAGCAAAACATCTGCCAACAAGGTGTTTTTTAGCGGCCCAAACAGATGGAAGTCACTACGGACCAAGTCCAGGCTGTAAGGTGGATGTTCAAGAAGCTCCCAATGCAGTTCTTGAATTATATCTTGTGTTGCTTTGGCTGTATGGAGTCAGGTATTGTCATGATGAACCAGTACACCTCTTGCCAGTTGGCCTGGATGTTTTCTGCAAATTGCATCCCAAAGCTTCAATAGAACTTCACAGTACAGTGCAAAATTCATGTTTTCACCATGCTTCTGAAAATGGCCAACAGTACCCCCTGAGAATTCCAAAACATGGTAAGCATAATCTTCCCAGCTGATGGCTTAACCTTAAACTTTTGGCTGAAGGTGAACTGGGTTGTTTCCATTGCGTTAGAGCAAGCTTTGATTCCAGTTGGTAGTGATGCACCCATGATTCATCCTCAGTAACAATCCTGTTAAGCATATCTTCTCTTTCGTCTGCATACCATAAGAGATGTTGCAAGGACAAACCAATTCAGTTCATTTTTTCTGAATGCTCTTGTTCTCTGGGCACCCACCACACACACATTCTTGAACTTCAAACGATCAACCAATATGCTGTATGCTAAACCACAGGCCACCCTGGTGCAGTTGCTACATAGTCTATCATTATCCTCCTGTCAGCTCGAATCAACTCTTCCACCCTCTGCACATTTGCTTCTGTTGCAATCTCAATAGGGTGACCTGGTGAGGCATCATCTACGACTTTCAAACGTCCTTGAGAGAATTTCTTGATCCAGTTGTGAACTGCTTTACATGACAAACACTTCCCACTGCGAACAGGGAACATTTATTTATGAAAACCTTTTTCACCAAGTCCTTTTGCCCACAAACAAAAAAGCACAACAGAACGCTGCTCTTCAGTAGTATTCTCCTCACACACACACAACATTTTTAGTAAAACCAGCCTCTGAACTTGGAGCATGCATGTCTGCTACCTAGTGATAAGCATATAAAACCTATTACATCCATTACATGTGTTTTACTTCCATTTGTGACCTATTTACTGACTCTCCTTCCTATTTCAAAAGAGGAGTGCCAGACATACGCCAATGAAACCAGAATCATGGGCTTTGCGTATTAACTCCCAGGGGTGTATTCTGAAGGGACATGGTGCAAAAGTAGGTCACTTGTCCCTTCCTATGTCATATACCACAGATTGAACACAGATTTTCCCTTGCATGTCACTTCTGATATATCCTGTGAGAGCCTTCTGACTTTCTATATCACACACAATGTACTCTGCAATCTGTCATTAATTTATATAGACCTTATTTTAGTTCCTGCAAATGATGCTAAATATTAGACTAAGTTTTGGGTGAAAAAGTTCACAAGACTTAAAAATGTTGGTAAACATTTGTGACATAGGAAGGGTTAAATAAAGTTTTATTTATGAACAAACCGCCACAACTTCTTTGTACCATCTCAATTCCATGTTCCACTTTATATGCGTTTATCCCAAACAATACTTAGCAATTACAAATAGCATAATATTACTCACAGACAAAGGAGTATCCTTATTCAATATGACTTGCAAAAGATGTGGGGGGAGGACAGGTGGCCCAGAGACTTTCTCCCACGGCTTGTTTGCGGGGATTTCCTGAGAGTACTCTCCTGCAAAACAGAACAACATGAAGTAAACTTGACAAGATACAATGACAGAAGTCACAAATTTGAACTTTTCCCATATTTTTATTTCCAACTTCATTCACCCACTCACATGCTACCAATTAATTTTAGTGGGGGGGAATACACGTTCATACAGGAGAGTATAAAATTCCTGCCATAAATTATTTCCATTAATAGATTTATTAAGAAGAAATGACAAATAATGGAAAGATCAGTGACATAACACCCTGCATGCATCATACTTTGCCAATAAATTAAAAGGTGGTGGTGGTGGTGGTGGTGGAAGGGTTTTGACAGCGAATCTGCATGGGAAAATTACAATGTTGGATGTCGTCCAACAGAGGCTAGAAAAGGGTTAAAGAGCCTGAACTAGAAGTAGTCAAACATCCAAGTTACTTTTTTATATTGTTAGGTAAGGTATCTGTCAACACAACAAAATTGATTTTAGTCATATCAATATCTCATAGATTGAATTTTATTGTTTACCGCTGCATGTGTCGGTCCTCATGGGATCATCAGCAGGCAGTGTACATCTAATGAAACAAGGTTAATTGAATTCTCAACATGGATCCTTATTTTGGTGCAATGGGTCCATATTATAAAAGTTGTAAAAGTGATGCCTTGTGTTATGGTGAGAATTACAATATTAAAAACATTAAAATATCAGAGTATACTAGAAATTTTTATTTTAAAAAATGTTGGAGTTAATTAAAAGATGTTATGTATTAAGAATATAGGCGTTTAGAATATGAATAACAAGTTAGATGTTACACAAATCACTTAATCCAGATGACTGCCCCCCCCTGCCAAATTAATCTGGGTTCGAGAGGGATTACTGTATTTACAGTAATCAGACAAGTGTACGACTTAGTTAAGAAAAACTATTAGCTTCTCAAGAAGACTCAGCTCCATGCAGTTGGGTAGAATCAGAAGCTGTTCTCAGAATATCAATATTATTCTTACTTACGTTGCTGATTACTGCCCATGCTTTCGCTGTCCATATCAAGCGCCTGAAATACTTCAAAGTCAGACTTCTTCACGGACACCAAGTTGTTTTTAGAACCCATTTGATTGTCAACGATGCGCTGAAAAAAAATAAATGACAGAATGAATAAGTCTACAGCAAAAAATACGTTTCAATATGCTTGTCTTATTTTATTTCACACACATACCACTCCTGGGTCATGTTTCCATTCACCATCCACATAAAATTTGTACTGATGCTCCCCTTCTGGAAGATCTATGATAGTTACAAAATCACCGTGACTGGAATGAAAGATGATAATTAAAAACTGCCATGAACAAAGAACAAGACTGCAGTAATGAAATACAATTGTGTACTGTTTTCACTGCCAAAGGTTAAAGTCAGAGAAGTTGAACATTTAATGTCAAGGTTTTGCTTTCCATGCAATACGGACAATTCTTCTTAATAACGAGGCAGCATTACACAATTCATTAATAGCTACACCATGGGCCTCTCTTAAAATCTTCTATATAAAGTAATATCGAATTTCCCTACTGTCTACTGAAACGCACACAAAGTATATCCAATGACTGATTCAATGTTTTTGAAAACATCATTAATATTTTATCTTGTTATAATACTTCCAATTTTTAATTTTTATATAATCTGAACTTTTGTATATTTTACATAAGCATTTTTAAATTTGTACGAATAATAGTGTTATATCCATTTTATGATTGCAGTTAAATGGTAGATTTTTGTTGATATGTATTTGCCTGATGATGGCTGATAGTGGCCGAAACATGTAGCAAAGCCACAGCTGAACGCTGACTTTGATGTTTTACTATTTGCTGTGTTGTGACAGTTCATTAAAGAGTTTTTTACTTTATGTTATGCCCTCGGACAAAACACCGACTGTCCTGGGTGAGGCTTTCATGGTTATCTGCAGTCCCTCCATGAAAAGGACATAATAGAACCTCAAATTAGGCTACAGTAACATGCTTCTAGTGGGTCAAAGGCTGGTAAATGACTCTGGTGGGGTGCACTGATGCCAGTGAGTGCACACCATTCAGTTCCAGAACACCACCTGTTAAGGAGGGCTCTGCCAGCAAATCCTAGCTCCCCCACCTCATGGTGACCCCTGGGCAACACATTCTGGGGTGAGAGCACAAATGTGGCAGACAGCTGGGTGAAAGGCGAGTGTCCAGCACCTTCAAATGGGGCTCTCCAGCTAATGGAACGAAAACCTCAGCAGAAAAACTGAGGGTAGGGGATCTCTTTAGGTGTGGTGTAGCCAACCCCTCCTAAGGGAGTACACCCTGACAGAAGAACAATGGTCCTCCTAAGTTAAGGGAGTTGGGTAAAGGCTAACAACCTCTCCCCAGAAAGCATTACTTGTTCAGAAACCCAAGGTAGGCAAAGGTTAAACTTAAAAGGACCATACAGCCAAAGAAGAAGAAGAATGTGCTTCTATACAAATTTTTGAACTCATGATTCACTAATCATCCAAAAATTTGACGGTATACAGGCTGGGCTAGTGTAACTTGATTTTAAAGTAGTATTTTTAAAGTTGGTCGATCNGGAGTACACCCTGACAGAAGAACAATGGTCCTCCTAAGTTAAGGGAGTTGGGTAAAGGCTAACAACCTCTCCCCAGAAAGCATTACTTGTTCAGAAACCCAAGGTAGGCAAAGGTTAAACTTAAAAGGACCATACAGCCAAAGAAGAAGAAGAATGTGCTTCTATACAAATTTTTGAACTCATGATTCACTAATCATCCAAAAATTTGATGGTATACAGGCTGGGCTAGTGATGCAATCGTTAAAAAATGAAACCATAAATTTCACACATAATCTTTCTTCCTGACACATTCGATCAACTGACTGCTTTCACATAATCGAATCCACCCTTGGAAGCATTAGTCTAAAACCTGAAACAAACTTGTCCAACCCAACAAAGATTTTGGGCCAACTGTAACATCAGGCTTTGAAACCTGGACTGATCATCAGAGGATCACAGAGAAACAAACATCCACTAAAGAAGGTATTGTAATTTAATGACAATGCCTGCAGTTTGCTTTCGAAAGTAAATAGCTACAACATGATATAATGGTATTTTGATCACAGAAAGGCAAAAGAAACAAAATGGTGGCTTCCCCTCTACTTAATTACTGCCTATGGCTGTGCCATAGCTCAGACAGTTAGTTGTCAGCTTCTAAAGGTGGAGGGCAAAATTCAGACCCAGGTCAGTTCATGTGGGATTTGTGGCAGATAAAATTCTACTGCAGTAGGTTTTCTCCACACACTTCAGTTTCCCTTGCCAGTTCTCATTCCACCAACTACTCCACATACATCTGTCATCCAGGACTGGTAAAGAGGCCACTTACAGTCTGCATACAGAGAGACTATGGCTTGCCTCAGCCTAAGAATAAAACAAAATTACTTTACAAAATTTAGGCCCTACCTCTAGACTTTTACACTGTGATAAAAATATTTAGTACAGGTAATATAAGAGAATACTATAAAGTTAATGTACATTTGTTAAAGAAATACACCTTCCACATGCTACTGTAACCATATATTTTGTACAGTGCATTCATAATATTCACTTTAAGTTCATATGACTCTAATGCTACAGAGGCAATAAAGACAATTATCAGGGGCCAGTGGTAATTGGTTGACACACTGAATGTCACAGGTTTGATTCCTGATGAGGTCATTCAAATTTTCAATTGACCTAATCCTTCCAGCCACAATATGGCACTGGGGTCAAATGAGTACCAGGAATCTGCATGAAGGTAAAAAGCTGCTGGAGCATAAGGCTGACAACCTCACCATCACTTGTTAGCCGATTGTCTAGAAAATGTAGGAGCCTCGATGTCACATAACCATATCGGCCTCCACAGCCTGTTACAGGGGATAGCTTTACCTTTTATCAGTAGTACAATGGCATAACAGAACCCTTCAACATCTATCACTTTTTCATAAAGCATATTCACACACTCTCAAGTCTATAACATTCATTCACCTATTCAGATTTACACCTTGGGCTTTATAACCACTATGCTTTATGTTTTGCTACTCAGCAATCAAATTTTACTTCTCATAAGACAACCATACTTTTTTATATTTGTAGGTAGGCCATCGTGTAACACCATTCCCTTAAACTCAAATAGGAAGAATTTTTACCTTTTAACCATTGGAAGAGTCTTCCAGTTAGAGAATGTCCCACTGATGAAAACTTGCTTTCCACCACCTTCCCATTTGAAAACTGTGGGTAGGACTTTATCATTCACTTTAGTACCCTCAGAGACTGTGGCAGAACGCTGGCGTGTACTTCCTGTGTAGTCTTCTGATGTCTGTTCCTTGGTATAATAAGGTTCTTCTTCATCGTGAGATGACTGGAAAACTAATTTTGGTTTCTTATCAAAGACAAATGCTTGACCATCCTTTCCTGGAGAAGACGGTACTATTGTGTCTCCTGACTTATGTCTGTCACGTGTGTTGCTGCTAGCATTTCCCATAGTATTTAAAAAAAAAAACTTGATGATATACCTGCGAATGAAAATATTGTAAGGATATAACAACCTAACCTATTATAACAAACACAACCAAATGATCTCGTCAATAAGCAATATTGTCTTTAGGTGAAAATGCACATGCACTAATTCTTCAGCAAATAAAATAACATGGCTTAATAATCTTGGGTTCATACGAGTTTCGAGATTTACTTACCCTCTTTAATTCATTGGGTATTTATTTTTTCTACACTTACTGCCGACTTTTTCCTTTTACTTATGACAAAGACTTCTCACAGAACGAACTAGTTCATAGATGGCAGGAGCCACTGGGCTACACTTACATTACTGCTGTCTAAGAATATTATCCTGAACTTTTAAAACGATCTAGAAGCCTATTCGAATCAATCGTCAATCACGGAAGTGATTCGTTCACTGATTTTTACAGAACGACAGGTATGAAACTCATAACTGGCATCGAAACTATACTGCCGACTGCTGCCGACCGTCCTGATCGGTCCGGATCAGTCTGGAATGGTAATGCAAAGGTAGTTGTAGTAGTAGCTCAGAGGATAATGAGGTTATCTATCACGTGATTAACAGAATTTCGCCTTGCAGCATCCGCGCGAAGAAAAACATCAGATTTATTAATCTGTCGTTTATTTAATGAATGACTGCCAGCTGCTCAGACTATATAACGTTAAGTGGTATGGTAAGTCATAAATATGAATTGAGAAGGATTCTATTCCGGCTTTCCACAGCGGCCTCAAGGGTTCGATCCCGGAGCAGGCCACGTGGGATTTGCGGTAGACAAAGTACTTCCGATTCCCCTGTCAATTCTTATTGCACCAAGTGATCCGTATCAGCCCCACGTTATTGGAGAGCAACATGGCCGCCATGACAACACTGCGCAATGCTGCTGCCATCACTACGCATCCTACATTAACTAAATGTAAAATGGCCGACAGGGCCGAGAGCACAATCGGAAAGAAGGGATGCTAACATAGCAACTATTTTGAGTGCTCACCCCCACAAATCCTTTCTTCGCTTGAGAAGAAATAAATACTTTTATAACCAGATCTCTTGTACTGCAGAGGTTCCCCCCCTCAAACCTATTTCTATTTTTGAACTGTGTTCAGTATCACTAGTCAAGGAGGATTAGGTTGGCAGGGTATGTAGCACGAATGGTGGAGGCGAGGAATGCATATAGGATATTGGTGGGAAAGCCAGAAGGAAAGAGACTACTGGGAAGACCAAGGTGTAGGTGGGTGGACAATATTAAAATGTATCCTAGAGAGATAGGATGGGATGGTATGGTATGGATTAGATTGATCCGGCTCAGGATAGGGACCAGTGGAGGGTCCTTGTGAACACAGTAATGAAACTTCAGGTTCCATAAAAGGCTGGAAAATTGAGTGGCTGCGCAATTGGCGGGTTCTCAAGAAGGGCCCAGCTCCATAAGTAAGTTCAAAATCACTTGATCCATATCCTCTGGGTTGGATTTGAGTGAAGTGCTATTAAACTTGGTCCCCACCCTTTCCAAAAAAAATAACAATGGAATAAGAGCCTCTGCAGCTCTGGAGTACAAGAGATTAGGTTGCAAATTATTTATCTGGAGAAAGTTTCTCACCAGTGCCTGGAAAGTCATAACCTTTCTTTCACACGAAACATCACTTTAACCTTAGGCACTGAACATTGTGAACTGTAACATACACGAATACTTGTATTTAGGAAAGCTGAAGGTGGGGAAACTTGAAAGAAACTTCTGTTTCCATCAGAGATACATGTATTAAACCCCATAATTTCCTCATTACTTACACTTGAAAGCCATACAGATGACAGTTTTTCGATTACATTTAAGCATTATAAATCATGTATTGTAAGCAACAATACTCATGTCCCCATTTATTATTTTCATTAGAATGATGGAATTTGAGAATGTGAAATACACTCTTGTCAACAAGATTAAGACTGCATTTAATGAAATAAGAAAATGTGATATATTCATCTTCACCAGTTCAGTACTGGGCAGAATAATATGGCAGAAGTAATAACATATCTTAAAGAAATATAATGAATGCTGAAAATTTGGTATCTATTAATATTCCAGTTCAGTAATGGAAAGGTTTATATGGTAAAAGTAACATATCTTACAAAAAAGTGTAATGAATACTGAAAATCTGGTAACTATTCATCTTCCAGTTCAGTATTGGATACGATTATATACCAAAAATTAATAATATATCTTAAAGAAATGCAATTACTATTGAAAATCTTATGTTCATATTCACCAGTTCAGTACAGATAGCATTATATGGCAAACGTAAGAGAAGGAATACACCTATAACAACAAAAGTGAATAACAATGTAACGAAAATGAAATAGGTAAAGAAATTACATAAATAGCCCTACGAACATTCAATCCTAATACTGATTCGGCTTCTCAGAGTTTCACACTGAGGTGGATAACCTGAACTTTGCAAGTCAATTATAAAGTAATGCCTCTTCATTCTTACCTACACATAAACAAGAACCAAGGGCATGTCAGTCACAGGAGAGGAATACAAAGGGTATTTTGGTAGGATAAATTGAAGGACTGGGTGATTGAGGCTAGCTCTTTCTAAGGCACCCAACAGAATAGGTGTTTTCCCTCAACTGAGGACGGAAACAGTTTCCGAAACGTTGTGTTTTTCTTAGTTATCTTAAAATCAGGATGATGGATAAAGTCCAAAAACCCAATATCTCTATATGATGGTGATTGTAGAGCAGTTGGTGGAACGAAGATTGGCAGGGGAAATTGAAGTACTTGGAGAAAATCGGTCAAAGTGCCACACTGTGTCCACCACAAATCCCACATGAGGAGGCCCGGGAAGTTAACGCAGGAGTCGTGTAGTTGAGAATAAGGGCAGTGAGTTCTGTGAGAACAATGCAGTGACGTTGTAGGTTCCATGAAATGGTAATTCTTCGGGGACTGACCAGCTGTTTGCAGGGAGTCAGCACAATGAACTTGGTCCTGATGTATGCCATTCATGTAGAATTCCATACCTGTAGGCAATAATGAATTTCATGGCCGTAAACGTACAGCTGGGTGGCTATAAGACGCAGTGGAGATTTCTCTGCGGCCAGGGACCATACAACAGTGGGTATAAGTTCAAATTAAAATTTCCGTTAGTATAATGAAGTCTGTTAGCACATGTTTGCCGCGAGAAAATTCAGAGGCGCGATTGAGATGCAGTGTGAGCGCTGGAACAAAAGAAATGAAATTTTATATCAAGAGAGTTAGATTGGTTGAGTGTCATCTCACATTGAACGGACGAAGAACCCCTTCGTGAGTCATGTACAATATCTGTATATTTTTCGGTAAGAGGATTAGATACAGAAACAATCGAAGTCAATGCCTTCACAACATTTATTAGGGCATCTCCTTCATTGAAAAGTGAGCAATTAAGCTCTAAGATGAAATGTACCGTCCACAGACATATGCAATGACATATGCTTGCCTTGGGATTTGCAGCAAATACACACGTTTTGAAAGTGCAGCGCTTAGAAATCAAGGTTCTCCGCAACAACAGCAATATCCCAAAGTGTAGAGCGGCCAGCAACCAGAAGCCACAGAAGATCATAAAAATGCAAATGGTCGGAAAACTGGATAAGGCGAAGCCCGACAAAACACGAGGCTTAAATTTTGTGGCTGTGAAGCTTACACTGTGTACGATTGTTTAGGTGACTAAATTGCCGGTCCAGTATGAGCTAATGAAAATAAGGCAGAATCTGTTGTGGACTGACAGGGGGCTTATATATATTGCCAAAAAAGCCATGTGCAGTATATATATGTATAGTTGTAGAGGTCGTGACATGTAGATTGGAGGAGGAAGGACGAAATATAGAAAGGAATTAACTGTGACAAGTGAGAAGCGATAGGCCCATCTTGTCATCAGAAAGGATTCCTATTAAAGGCCAAACAGTGAAGCTGCTTCAAGACTAAGATCTGGTCAAGGGCGTCTGAATGGGCTCTAAATTAAGAGAAAGTGACTGGCCAACCGTCAGTCATAAATTTACTTTGAAATGAAGCAAGAAGAGGAATTTTGTAAAGGTAGAAACGAAGCGGTAGGATATGTGGAACACGAAGGCAAATACTTGTCATAACCATGGCGGTCCTTTGGTAAGGCACTGGCGTATGGTTTAGAAAATACGTGGTTCGAAGACATGACTATTTTCATGAGAAAAAAATTTAAGAAATTTGTGCATGTAGGAAATAAGTCGTACTATATGAGGAAGGTGAAGGTAACAAATTTGTATAGATCTGGGGGTACGTGGTTAAGACATTGGCGTAGTATTGGGAAGGTACCGAGTTCGAGACCACGGTGTCTTTTGTCAATAGAAATTGAAAAGTGAATAAATAAATACGATTTTTCTGCAGCTATACGAGTAAACCAAGTTGTAGAATATGAGGAGGATCGCAGAAAACTGTACCATAGTTCTGGTGGTCTAGAGGTAAGGTACCAGTGTTGTGAATAAAAGGTTAGTGGTTCGAGACCACAAGGACTTTTGTAATGTGATTTTTATGAATTTATATAGCGAGATGTAACATAAGAGGAAGATTAAAGATAAAAAATTTTCCGTGCTATTGGTGGCCTATTGGTAAAGCACTGGCGTAGTGAGAAGTTTCAAGATTCGGGACCAACGAAAGTTTTGTAAAACAGAAATGGATTAATAAGAATTTTTCTGGAATTACGGTTTGAGGTGTAACATAAGAGGAAGATTGAAGAAAGCAATATTCTGTGGTGTTGGTGGTCTATGGGTAAGACTGTGGAGGAGTTCCGAGGTTCGGAACCAACAAAAGTTTTATAAAATACAAATATAGTTAATAAGATTTTTCTCTAATTATACTCGAAGATGTAGCTTAAGAGGAAGATTAAAGAAAATAAATTTCTGTGCTGCTGGTGGTCCAGGGGTAAGACATCAGCTTAGTGTTCAGAAGGTACCTGGTTCAAAACCAGTAGGATTTTTGTGAAAAAGAAATTAGTGAAGAAAGCCAACAGCAGAGGAAGAAGTGAAGAGGGAGGGAAGATTTTTGCAGCCGCTCATTAAAACACTCACCTAAGCTTTTATTAACATCATTAAAAATCGGTCAGAAAATGTCTTTCATTACGTTTCATTATGATGCCCAGCACACCAAGATACAGGGGCTATTCAGAAAGTAACCTCCAGTGAGCTGTTAACAAAACAAGCAATTAAAAAAAGAAAATTTATCATATACAAATAATATGTACATACTTACACTACTCCTCAAAGTAGTCACTGCTGGAACTGAGACACTTCTCGTATTGAAGACTCCTCATTATCGCTGAAGTGCTGTGATCCAAACCACGTCTTCAGGTAGGTAAACAGGGCTACAAGGAGGGAGATCAAACAACTCCCAGTTGAAATGCTCCAGCAGCACTTGAGTGGAAGCAGTTGTATGTGGACATGCATTGTCATAGAGAAACATTACACCAGATATCAGCATTCCATGCCTTTTGTTCTGAATTATTTTACACAGTTTTCTTATCGTTTTGCAATACAAAACATGGCTAAGCTCACAGATGTCAGACTTTGACAAAGGCATGTGAAAACTTATTCCCCAACACAAGTGCCTCAACATCTGAGCCTCTGCAACCCGACTGTGTGGAACTAGCATAACTCTTCCACCTCAGCACCTCACTGATTTGGGGGACGTTCTAAAATGATTGCTCTCTAAATACAAACATGAAGAAACTCAGGGCGGGCTAGTCTGGGTATAAACTTGGGAGACTGTTGCATGCTTGGGCATTCAAATGATGTAAATAAACATATTGTGGCATACAGGCGTTTCTAGGAAATGAAATGGCGACACATTTCCTCTGAGATATGATTCTTAAACACAAACCATCAATAGATGTTAAACAAACATTTCCATGGATAAGCAAATGAAAGTTATAAATTCTTGAAAGAGAGAGCGTTGCCCTGGAATTAACACATGTTGCTACGAAGGTAGATTCCTACAAACCAGTTCAGTACAAGGTGCGTTTCGGTGGCAGTAGACAGGCAACAGACATTTTCCATGGTTACTGCTAGACTATATAAGCAGCTGTACAGAGAAGAATGAATAATTTGTAAGAGAATTCAGAAGGCAATTCAATAGTAGAGTGTTCAGCTGTGAAGTGTTAATCAGCTAAGATTTATTGCCAAGCAATGACTAGTGAAAGGAGACAAAGATTTTATTTTGTATGCTGTAGTTACAGTAATCTTTAGAGTGTGTAAACCAGTGAGATTCTTATAATTATTTGTAGTTATGACCTGCGAGTTCTCAATAAATCAATTCACCAATCAAAACTCAATCTACAGTCACTAATACACATGACGATATTCACATTACACATTAATGTGGTACTGTTTCTATGTGATGGATCTGGAACCATAAAGATCTGAAGGAAGATTACTGAATAATTATAAAACCTAACTTCAACTTATTATGTAAAACTTACGTAAACCTTTAGCAGAAGACGGGAAGCTCGGGTGTACTACGACAAATGTAACATTTACTTTGTTGTTCGCTACTAAGAAATGTGGCCACAGTTCAGAAGAAGGTGCGAGTGCTCCCACCAAGATGAATATTTCTTTTTTGACCAAAGTGACTCTCATAGTTGGGATTAGCCTGTTTTGGCTTCAGTTGGACCAGTCAGGTAACATTAAATTAACCCTTTAGAGTACAGTGGATACTGTCATTACTACACACTTCTAACATTAAAGAAATCTCATTTTTTTCCAAAGAGTGAACTTACGGGCTTTGTAAGATTCCCAGAATAAAGAGTGATTACATTCCTACAGAGTAGTACAGACTTGTCTCTAGCATTACTTACTTACTCATGGAGCTGAGCCCTTCTGGAGGAGCCGCCAATTCTGCAGCTACTCAAGAATTTCCCAGCACTTTATGGAACCCAAAGGTTCATTACCATGTTCACAAGAGCCCTCCACTGGTCCCTATCCTGAGCCAGATCTATCCAGTCCATACCATCCCATCCTATCTCCCTAAGATCCATTCTAATATTGTCCACCCACCTACGCCTTGGTCTTCCCTGTGGTCTCTTTCCTTCTGGCTTTCCCACCAATATCCTATATGCATTCCTCATTTCCCCCATTCGTGCTACATGATCTGCCCACCTCATCCTCCTTGACTTGATCATTCTAATTATACATGGAGAAGAGTACATGTTATGAAGCTCCTCATTATGCAGTTTTCTCCAACCTTCTGTCACTTCATCTCTCTTCAGTCCAAATATTCTCCTCAACACCCTGTTCTCAAACACCCTCAGTCTATGTTCCTCCCTTAATGTCAGAGACCAAGTTTCATACCCATACAGAACACAGGCAAAATTATAGTTTTGTATATTCTAATTTTTATATTTTTGGACAACAGACGAGAAGACAAAAGGTTCTGGACTGAATGGTAGCAAGTATTACCCGAGTTCAATTGCCTCTTAATTTCTTCCAAAATAAGGTCTCGATCTGTTACTGTTGTTCTCAAATGCCTGAACTGTGCCACCTTTTCAAAACATATGTTTCCTATCTTTATGTCTCTAGCATTAAAGCATTAAATACATGGCAATCAGAAGGCAACGAGCTAGTTATTATGTCTGTACAGTTTCCACATTTCCATCTTCCATATGCTGCCTACTCATGAATTTACTTCGAAGTTCTCTAAGTGAATCCCAAAATACAAAACAAAGAACAGTATGTGGTCCAAGACGTATATAGTTTGGAATGAACCCCTTGAAAAATCCATGGATTCCTTCTGTCTTCCACATCTTTATGAAGCAGTCCACTACACCCTGGTACAGCAACCCTCGTCCCTGCACATCAGTACCTGGAACACACATCAGAGAAATAGCATCACTATCAGTCAAAATAATTACCCTTCCCTAACAAAGTAGATGGTCAAGCAACAGTTGTTAGCATTGTTAAATACTGTAGTACATAGAGAGCTGTTATTGGGTTATGGCACAGTAAACAACTTATGAGTGTAACAATGATTGCACATGTAACAGAGCAACACATCACATGGGCACTGTTTTCATGCAATAATACAAGAGCTGCGAGAAGAGATGTTGCCATGTGATCCATCACCAGGTGGACAGTGCTGCTGCAATGGAACACGTGATATCATGCCACCCACACCAAGAGAGGAAAGATGTTTTCTGTTGGGTCCGCTCTGAGGCCATATCACTCAACTGACTGAGTTGAGTTCTGTTAGCAGAGTGGAGTCAAACTGAATTGATAGTTTGGTGGTTGGAAGGCAGTTAGTTCAGTTCAAGAGCCGCAGTGAGACAGGTGACAGCCAGCATGGATGCAAAGCTGTGAACAAGGAAGGATCTATGACATTTGAAGCCATTACCAGACAACTAATGAACATACAGCAGACTGAGAAGACTTAGTTCATGCTGTAGTGAACCGCAGAGTGGGTGAATTAGTGATAGGGCTATAGTTGTTTGTAGTTACAATCTGGAAGTGTTCAACAAATCCAATTAGTTAGTTAGTTAGTTATTGGAGAGGGTGGGTTTCCCCATGCACTTAGACCAGTACTGGTCCATTGTGCTTCCCTCTATGATATTCTACCAGTCTCTATACCCTACCGATATTGGTGCATACCATCAGTCCCGCCGAGCCAGCGAGTTCGGCCTCCACTGGCTTGGTGGTGTCTATAATACTTCCCCCAACTATCAGAGGCTTTAGAGACTACTGTTGGGCGGGAAACGTCCTTGAATTTGGCTCAGTGACCTCCTTTGGATATATGAGGTCCTTTTATGTGCCGTAAAGCTACGACACGGGACACACGGCTTAAAGTCCCTCCCGGAGGACTTGTTCCCTGAATTTTTCCGCCCTTAAAAATTCGATGACCTCTGCCGGGTTTGAACCCGCGTACCACGAGTCATGAGGTGGGAACATTACCTCTAGACTACGGAGGCCGCTAACAAATCCAATTACCAATCAAAGCCCCGTCCACAGTCGCTCCATAAAATCGTGAAAATATGAATGTTTCAGCATATAAATACTTGTGTACCCCCTAATCTTTGCTGTTTTAATGTTTCTGCATACAAAGAGACCAAGTCAGAGGGTCTGGCTGTGTCATAGCTCAAGAGGTTAGTCTCTGGCTTCCCACCACGGCAGCCTGGGTTCGATCCCGGGTCTGCTCAAGTGGGATTTGTGGTGGAAAAAGTGGCCCTGGGGCAGGTTTTCTCTGAGTACTTCGGTTTCCCCTGTCAATCTTCATTCCACCAATTGCTCCACAATCACCCTCACCTATCATCTGGGGCTGGTACAATAGGCCAGAAGTGGCTGCAGTACAAGGGACTTAGTCCCACCCCACTAGCAATACAAAAAAAGTCAGAGGGTGGCAGGTAAGTCACAGANAAGTTTTTGGGGGGGGGGGGAAATGCCTGAAGCCACACCCAGAAGTTTCTAAATTCAGTTTTATACAACCAGACATTATTACATGAGACTCTACAGCCACATACAGAAAACTTCCATTACCTGACATGTATGGGGAATGGAGTGTTACATTAACTTGCTACGTGGATGAGGAAAACCCTTATGGAACAAAATTTCATGTGATTTTCATCCTATTCAATGCTTTTAATATGTCCCAACATTTTTCCCAAAATTTTATGGAACCCACAGTGCCATTACCGTGTTCACAAGAGCCCTCCACTGGTACCTATCCTGAAGCAGATCAATCCAATCCATACGATCCCATCCATTTTAATATTGTCCACCCGCCTATGTCTTGGTCTTCCCAGTGGTCTCTTTCCTTCTGGCTTTCCCACCAATATCCTATATGCACTCCTCTTCTCCCCAGTTCATGTTACACGCCCTTCCTATCTCATCCTCCTTGACTTGATCAATCTAATTACACTTGGAGGAGAGTACAAGTTGCTTCTCATTATGTAGTTTCCTCCAACCTCCTGTCACTGACTGGTGTTTTGGTCATTTTGGTTAAATTGCTGCTAGGCTTCACCAGCACAGTCATTTGTGGCTTCAGTTCCCTCGAGATCCATGACCAAGATATTTATTCTCTCCTAAACTTATATGTGTTTAGAAATGGAGCCTCATCTATGACGAGGGAGGGGTTGACCATTCTGTGTAGGTACTACATTTGTGCATTGTAGTATCAGCATGAGTACAGCCAAGCTGTGACAGTGCCCAGGCCACCATGGGCTCTGTGCACCCTTTGTCACTGTACTATGCTAAGTAACATTTATATGAGATATGCAAAGGTTTTCTGTCAATACAGGCTTCTGCAGCAGGTTATGCCTTAACTTATTTGTCCATTTGGTCCTTGTTATATAACCTCAGCATGGACCACACAGAACACACCATGTCCTCCACTGTTATCAGCATCTGTTACTGCAGAAACATGTTTACTGCACTGTTGCCTAGCAACGGCCGTGCCTATTCATTCCGCTATTCCGGCTTTCAGCCATCATGTCATAAGATGCAATGAGTACATGGGGTAATGACAAATGCACAAGCCTACTATACTGAGTGTGCCCAGTGGAAGCGAAGGGTCCTTGATTGTGGAATAACTAAGTATCTCAAAAAAGTAATAATTTATTATACTTGGTCAGTACCTCCAAAGTGTATTTATTTTATTTTATCATTATTATCATGGACAGAGCTCACTGCTGATACAGGCAGACCAACAGTTTTAATTGTAAGTCCTTTCAATTATGCATTATAACCAGAAGTTTGTTGGTACCAAGGTAATGAAGACAAGTACTATGACCTTCACCTACAGTGCATCTTAAGCCTGGTTACAAGGACAACTGAATGCACTACCGCTAATATGGTAGTGAACTGGTCACACATAACATAGTGCATTGCATAAGTTCTATCACTTAACTGCTACAGTCACTGTGTCCCTAATTTACTTTTACTTCTACAACCAGATGTGAATGTAGTTCCGCTAATATTCAAGCACATTTCTCAAAATTAAGTATTGCATGATAGGACTGAAACTTGTGAGAAAATATGAACATTACCTTGATTATATAAGCGAGTCATGACGACATCAAACGGTGTCATACACAAAGTTACAACAATTCCACCCACCATACTGGACACAAAAGTGTTCAGTAAAGGCCTCTTGGCAAAAGTCTGAAATAATAACAGACAACAAATTTTGAAGTTCACTGTGAGAAAGCCATGATTGAATTACAAAATGTGCTTACAGTCAACCCCATGTGATTTTTAGGCAGGAGGTTTCAAAGGGGAAACAGGGGAACATCATCATTTCACACATTTTTTTCTTAAAGGAACTGAAGGCTATTTATGTCTACAGGCTATGTGTATCAATGATACGAGAGAGCTTCACATCTTTGCTGTTGGATGTTCAGACCACATTGAACTGCCTGTCTTATCCGACATTAAGAAATTCAGACAGATGTATTCGTGCCATGTTACACAAAGAAATTTGCAGTCATCACTATCACAGCCATTCTGGAAAGCAAACCATGTTAATTATGTTCCACATAACCAACAAATCATCTTGACTACAGGTTGTGTTCACAATACAAGAGACCCCAGACTTGTAGCGTCAATATCTGCATTATATGCTACCCATACTCCATGTGAAACTGACATTAACCTAATTTTGGATTCCCTGTTATGTGTACAACATTCATACAGTAAATAAAATACCTCAACTGGCTACAGGCTGGATGATAGAGGGGTCAGAGTTCGAGTCCTGGTAGGGTCAAGAATTTTCTCTTCTCCATGTCATCCAGACCAGCTCTGGGGTCCACCTAACCTCCTATCCAATGGGTACTGTGGGCTTTTCCCCTGGGGGTAAAGTGACAGGGGCATGAAGCTCACTACTCACTTCCAACTAGTGCTGAGTTCAAGAAAAATGTGGATCTATATATCCACTCCCCCATACACCTTCATGGCATAGTGCTTAGTGCTTAATTAGTTTAGCACAGGGACTTTACCTTTTACCTTACTAAAATAACTATATGAAATGTAAGGTACATTTCAGACTTACATTTCACCAACTCTACTGGCAAAGATCCCCCAGCATATTAGTTACATTTGTGCCTTCTTAAAAAGAAAAAAAAAAAACACATGATATAGTATGTCAGAAGTGATGACCACATTCGGAAGGCACTGCTTAATACTGGCCAGATGCAGAAAAGTAAGGTCTTGACTGACAGTCTGTTGTTCCAATCATGTCATCACTTTATTTTCTCTGGTACCACTACTTCGCAGGAACCATCACTATTGCTTCCTGAGTTAACAGCTCCAGGTCTGTCAGTTGTGTTTCAATTTGTTACAGCAGGTGCAGTATTCTCTTCACTGAGATGCTGAGTACAGTATTTCAGGAGCAAAAGTTTTCTGTGGTAAGAAACATCTAAAAAATGATACACTGTGGTATGACAGATTTAAGTACTAATTTGAAGATAACTCTTAACAAGGCAAATTTACAATTGCATAACCGCAACAAGACCATTGTCAGCTCACAAATAACATAGCCCTTTACACACCACATACTGACCAGATGGGCTCAGGGTGCTGGCACAGCCAAACACTGGAATCTTGCTAATCAATCAGTATAGCATTTTTGTCAACTGATGGCATCAAGTGATGCATACTGATGCTTGGAGGAGAGAATGAGCTTTCGTATGAAATATCTGTGTTTCTGATAGTCATCTGTTAAAAGCACTGTAGGGTTTCTCTGTGCAACTGCATTTTCCCCAACACAACCTTGGCATTTCCAGCAGGGAGTTCTGTGGTGGGGCTTGGTAGTCAAAGGGTTAAATGTAGAGACTACTTAGCACTAATGATATAAGAATGCAATGTATAATCACATGGGTAATGCAGGGCCAAAAGTAGTTTTGGTCTATTCCAAGACACTAATCCTCAATCCACCTTGACAAAATTATAAAAACCATAAAACCTTCTTTAGGAAATCAGGTGTCAAGTCCGATATTTGGAATGAATCCCTCATGAATACAAGGAAGGCGTGAACACTGAGCCACTGTTTGGTACAAGACGACAGAAACCAAATCCTAGAAGAGGGAAAACTTTCAGCAGGCAAACACTCTTAAGAGAATTTCTTTGATATTTAATGAAACACATCAAAAACTTATTTTCATTTTCTGGAAAAGTGACAATTTTAACTGGCTGAGAGTCTCGAATTTATAATTTGTTTACATCTTTCAGCAAGAATTTCCCACATAAAAATTCATTAAAATGAAAAGGGAATCAATGTTTGAAGCAAGTGATAGTTGAGAAGTGTCCATTATGTGTTCATATTGCACATGTATAAAGTGGTTTACTAAAATGTTGTATTTCAGCATCCTGTTGCACTGTATCCTTTCCACATGTTTGTTTCCATCTTCCATGCAACTTGCACTAGAAGTTTTAAAATTCGAAATTCAATTTTTAGAACTCTTTAATTCTTTCACTTTGTCATATTTCTAATAACATGTTTTTGGCCATCAGGTGTGTTAAAATTGTTCTGACAAAAGTGCTGCAATTTATACACTGTCATAACAGGTTTTTACAATTTTATGATTCAATTCTGAATTCTGAAGTGTAATTTCCTTTTCATGCATAGTGTGTGTGTTGTACGAAACAGGACAAATAAAGTGAAAGGATTAAGAGCTTTAAAAATTAAAATTTTGAAATTAAAACTTCTAGTGCAAGCTGCAGGGAAGATGGAAACAAATATGAAGTTTACTAAAAGTAAAATTCCAAAGTAAGGCTGCCAACAACTGGCACTGCATATCTCAAAAAATCTCTGGCTTTCTGCATCAATTCTAATTTAAATTATCTCCAATAAATATTATTTAGTAATATACACATTCATTACTTCTGCAATACAGCAATAGTTACCTCATATTTTCCAACATAGTCTTTGCAGAGGGAGAACGACAGAAGCTGAGAGGCAGAACCAATGCTTGCCCGAGGCATAGCTCCAAATGCTCCCCGCCAGAGTCCCAGAATACCATGTTCTTGATAGATTTTCCATAATGCACTAGTGCATCCCGTATGTGCATGCTGGTAGCCAACAGCAATGCTGTCTGCAGCCTGTGACTGTAGATGTGTTTTCACCTGAACATACAGAAAATCGCCAAAAATGTGATGGACTAATTCCAGTCCAGGCTGAAAAGCTACTCAAACGGTCAAGAAATTATGTTCTTATGGAAAACAAAGCTTTATTAATGTAATTCACAAGTTGGCCACTGGACCCTATCCTGAGTCAGTTGAAACTAGTTCTTCTGAGGGGCCCTTTGTGACATTTCACAACATGTTTGTCAGTTTACACCAAAAAGGACAGTTAGCTGCATACTGCACTCACAGACTGAAGAACTGCCCTTGTTGGCTGTCTGCAACTGCTTGTTCAACATATTTACAGCTACCCTTAATATCTGGTGGCCACCCTCTCCATTTGCAAGCATGACATGAATAATGTCTATGAATACTTTCACTGAATGTCACCACTTAACAGTAAGCACTACTGCTGTGTACATTTGAGATGTCCAGGGTTTCAATCTTGGCATGGATAGGCTATCTTGATTTAAGGTTTTGGTAGGAAAGGCTAGGATATTAAGTATCTTACTATATGACACGAAGAGACTGCAGCAACTGGCTATGGGCTGGATGACTGAGGGGTCAGAGTTTGAGTTCCAACAGGGGCAAGACATTTCTCTTCCCTACATCATTCATACCAGTTCAGAAGCCTTCTATTCAATGGGTACCAGGGTTTTTTTTTCTGGGGGTAAAGCTGACCCTCAGATTCTGCAAATAGCTGCATTACATCAGTCACTGCAGCTTGTAAAACTGAAGACCCAGTAACAAATATTACATGAGCTTAAAGTGTCAGAGAAGGAAATGTAGAACAGTTACAGTTTACGTGAGGAGCCTAGATAGCACAGTCAGTATAGAAACTAGCTACATGCTGGACAACTGATAGGTCAGAGTTTGAGTCCTGGTAGGGACAACAATTCTCACTTCTCCACGTCGTCCAGACTGGCTCTGGGATCCACCCTACCGCCTACATGATGTGTACCTGGGGCTCTTTCCCAGGGGTAAAGCGGCTGGGACATGAAGCTGACTACTCACCTCTAACCAGTCAAGAAAATGTGGATCTATACATCCATTTCTCCATACATCTTCATGGAGTAGTGCTTAATTAATTAGGCACAGGAATAACTTTACCTTTTTATCTTTTACAGTTTATGTGAGGTTTAAGGTTCTCATGGCAGTGACTATGAAGAGCACAGTATTCTGGGATGTGGCACCTACAGTCTAGTCTGAAAAACCATTATTAAATAACCCATCCATAAAAAAAAATACATAATCGTGTGAATGTTGTGACATTACAGAGAAATATCTTCACGGTGAACTATGACGTTTCTTCTGAAGATGAAAGAAGTTAATCCAAAATACTGGTGAGCATTTACTAGACCAAACAGTCATATTCCATAAGGCAGTTATCCTCACAATTACACTTTTGTCCATTTTTTTGTATTTCATACAGAAGGTGGAACTTAATGGTTAGTGTATCAGTGTGCATATCTAAATTCCTCCCCAACTGCAACCCTCATTATCGTCAATATTGTCTTCTGAATCGGTTTGTGGGTGTCAAGTGTTACCTCACTGTTATTTTAGTAAAGTTGAAACAAATAATTGTGCTTGTATGTCTCGACATTCGATTCTATTTCGTTATCCGTGATACCTAAAATGTCCCTTAAATTTTCTTAAGCGCTGAATACGATGGAAACTGATAAACCTTACCAAATAAAACGGGCTTCCAGTCAAGGTACCCGCGCATCCGGCCAATGCTCCAACAACGATGCACTTCGGTGTAGATGTCTGGCCTGCACTGTTAGTCGTCCATCCTCTTTTTTCTGCGAAGTCGTAGGTTCCTAACCTCACGCCATTCAGACACAGCTGATACCACAATGCTGGTACAAGTCCTTTCTGCAGTGCTAAAACTCCATCTGCTTTCGCAACTGCATAAAACGCGTGAAAAAAACCCTTGTAATGAACGGTATACATTCCTCGAGCTTGTAATTCACCTTGCAATTGTAGTCTCGTTTTAATGACATCTAAAGGATTTGTGCAGAAACCTGCGCCTACTGCTGCAACTCCACCCAACAGAAATTCCATGATTTCGTTCTTTGGACAACTCTATACGGGCCTGCTTCACAAGTGCACATAGCTACGAATAAAATACCGTAATTTTTCCGCTTGGAAATGATAACGTCTTATCACTTCCATCGCTCTTAATCACGGACTTATTTCTTATCGCACATGACCTGCGCTACAGTTTCGTAGCCGTAACGGAGTACGAGTTTTCGGGTGTAATCCCTGGCTGAATTATCACATGGGCCTTATTTGTGGCCTTCTGNTCCATTTATTATGAGTCACGCGTCCGGCAAGAAAGGGTGAGTGCGAGCCCCTCTAAACTATGCGACACGGGTGAAGTCCACTTCGGAAAAATTATAAAATAGTGGGCAAAAATAAAATGCTCATAACATAATCTGTTACAGAATGTATTATTATTATTATTATTATTATTATAGTACGGTAGCAGTATTCCCACATCTAGCGCTATTTTTGTTCTCTAAAAACACTTTTACCAATACTCTATGCTCGGTTTTAGTCTAGAGGCCGAAAGATACAATACATTGGCCCATGTGCAACCTTTTTATAAGTTTGCCAGTATGTGACTTCGGTTTGAAGAAGCAAGCGAAAAAACCGTGAGAAGGCTGCGTTCTTGTAGTTTATGACTACAACCTATAGCCAAATAATTTTGCAGATCCTGTGTTTAAAGCTTCAGGGCAGTGTGTGTGTGTGTGTGTGTGTGTGTGTGTTTTTTTATTTCTCCCCCCCAGCTACTTCAGTAAGCTTCACAGTGATAATATTTTCATTGTATTCACTGTGTACATACTGTTACAACACACTGTTTCCATTTGTATGCTGACTGAATCAGTATCACAAGTAGGTTTTGAAGTAGCTTCCCTCAATGGAAATGACACCTGCTTCATACAGTTATCACATTTTCTAAGTGGACTTACCAGAAGATGCATACACATTATATTCTAACTTCTTTTTTAGTTTCTTGCAGTGGGACAAGACGTTCCACTTTGTAAATTGGCCACTATTTGGCCAATTATACCAGCCATAAATGGTAGATGGTGACAAGTACCGAGTAGTCGGTGGAATGAAAATTGGCAGGGGAGATTGAAGTACTAAGAGAAAACCTGCCCTAGTGTCACTCTGTCCACCACAAATCCCACATGAACTGACCTGGGTTCTAACTGGTGCCTGAATACTGAGGTCCCCACAGATGGCGGTGAGGTGGTCATACTTATTTATGGTTTATTTAACTGCACTATCAGTAGCTCCAACTATATACATGTATTATAAGATTCTGCATAGACTGCCACCAATTGTTTTGGCAAGGTTGGCAGTATCATTGCCACCATTGCAGTAACAGGGTATGGGCCACTATCACCATTTGTGATAACAGGTTTGGGCCTGCTGCACTGCTAATGGCAGATATCACTGTTTTTGCAGACATTTCCCTCTACACAAACCACTGACCTGAAGCCAATAGCTTTTTACAGAAAAACAATAGTTTTTAATACGCATAATACATATACACATGCACAACACATACAAACAAAATGAAATTTCTTCAGATTAACCTACACCACAGCAAAGCTGCCACGGCAACTCTCTGCCAGCAACTAGCTGAGGGAAAGGCAGATATAGCACTTATTCAGGAACCTTGGATATACAAGGGTCAAATAAGGGGCCTGACTAACACAGGTGGAACAGTTTACTCTGCTGCACCCAGTAATAATGCAAAATCTTGTGTTTATATCACGAATCATGTTAATGCCTTGCCTTTCTTGGAGCTCTGTTCTAGGGATACAACAGCAGTAAGGATAACATACACGTATCAAGGAGGCAGCAGGGAGCTGATTGTTGCTTCAGTCTACCTTCCATATGACTTGGATGAACCACCACAAACTAAGGAGATGAGGGACATCATAGACTACTGCTTTAGCAGGAAAAAGCAACTCATCATTGGGTGTGATGTCAACGCGCACCACATTTTGTGGGGGAGCACCGGCACTAACCCAAGGGGAGAGAGCCTTATGGAATTTCTGGTGAGTTCAAACCTGAATATTCTTAACCATGGTAACGAACCTACCTTTGTGGTTTGCAATAGGAAGGAGGTTATTGATTTGACACTAGGAACAAATAACATAGGAAACCTGGTAAGCAATTGGCATGTATCTGATGAGCCGTCCCTATCGGATCACAGATATATATGCTTTAAAATAATCAACATTACAGTAAATCAAGCTACTTATAGGAATCCTAAGAGAACCAACTGGGAGTCTTACAAAGATGACCTAAAAGTAAATCTAGGGACCATCTCGCAAAATATATCCACAATAAAGGATGGTGATTGGTCCGTTGACCAGTTGCAACAGGCTATTATCTTGTCCTTTAATCAGAATTGTCCAGATAAGACCACTCACGGACCAAGGAAAGCTCCTTGGTGGAATAAACAGCTGAGTGGGCTTAGAACCAAAACAAGAAGGCTGTTTAATACAGCTAAAAGAACAGGGCAGTGAGACACCTACAAGGAAGCCCTTACCTGTTACAATAAAGAAATAAGGAAAGCCAAGCAATCCTCATGGAGGAGGCACTGCCAGGAGATTAATGATGTACCAGACGGTGCCATACTCATGAAGATCATGGCAAAACAGGCGACCAACAAGGTCAGCACAATTAAGCTGCCTAACGGACAGTATACTCAAACAGGAAGCAAGACGCTGAACGAATTATTCAGAGTTCACTTTCCTGAGTCAAAATTGATTGATAATTTGGACGATGGGCAGGGTCAGCAAAACCTGGGCACTTGCCAAAGCAAGATGAACAGGGCAGATTGGAACCTGGCCAGAGTCATAATTAACCAACCAAAAATCAGATGGGCACTAAATACTTTTAGACCATTTAAGTCAGCGGGAACAGATGGAATTGTACTGGCACTTTTGCAGCATGGGGCAGAACTTTTAATTGCACACCTATGCTGCATACAGAGCCTGCGTGGCATATGGTTTCATCCCCATAGCCTGGAGGCAAGTTAATGTGACGTTTATCCCTAAGCCTGGGAAACTTAACTCTTTGACTGGCGCGAAGGGTATTTAAATCCCACCCATCCTGGCAGGCCCTTTAAACCTTATGTCGCTAAAATGCATGTAGTTACTTTTTCCTAAACAACTTCAACAAAAATTGGTTTTTAAAAACGAAATTTTCAGGAACTAATTAAAATACAATATATTATGCAATAAATGCCTTTCCATACCTCTTTATTAGTTTTTCTTCATGTGATAAACATTGAAACGTGAAAGTTTGCAGAGAGCCACACCACAGCCTGCACACATGATACTTGTTTCTTTTCTAACCTTGTGCTTAGCACTCACGCGACACTTTCTCAGGCCACCATTCTTCTTATTGTTACTGGGAGGAACATGGACCATTTTGTGAATTTTCAAGCCACCCTCTAGACGATTTACTGGCTCTTTCACTGGTGGCCTTTTCAAGGTCGAGGGCGGAGGCGTGACTGCACTCTAGTCTGACGCAATAAATTCGTCATCCACTTCATTCCTTGACTTTTCTCCCTCTCCACACTGTTTGTTTGGTTCAGTCATTTTTCTACACAGTCCAATATAAAATCTTTGAATCTGTA